CTTAAAATTTCTCAGGGGTACCCCCAAGTCCTTAATGAAATATCCAAAATCTTTCATTTGACTTTGACGCTCCTTGGAAGAGCTGGGCCCTTCTTCCCTTTTCAGCTGCATTCTCAGCCCATGAACCAGCCCTCTACTGTCCAGCTATGCACATTCTCACCTCCAGGCCATGCCCATGCTGCACCCCTGCCTGGAACATTCTCCCCACCAGCACGGGCCCCGCCTTCGTGCTTCTTGTCGTCCTTAAATCCCCAGCTCAGACTCCAGCATCTTCCAGAGATTCTCACGGATCCCCTGCCCACCCCACCCCTGCAAAGCTGGGTTGAGTCCCCTGCTGCGGGGTCCTTTGGCAGCTACGCTCGCTCCCCTTTCCACCCCCCATATCCCATTATGACCTGCTCTTTGCTTTCCCTAGCTCCTCCCAGGAGGGCAAAAACTCTACTCGTCTTGCTGATGCTGTAACCCCAGCACTCAGCAACTACCTTGCCCTAAATGGGTGCTCGAGAACTATTTGTTGAGGGGCGCCTGGGTGGCTCCGTCGGTTAAGTGTCGGACCCACTGGGGTCGTGATCTCAGAGTCCTGGGATCGAGCCCCGCATCAGGCTCCCCACTCAGCAGGGAGCTTACTTCCTCCCTGTCTCTCTGCCTGCTTCTCTGCCTGCTTGTGATCTGCCTGTCAAATAAATAAATAAAATCTTAAAAAAAAAAAAAAAAGAACTCAGGGTCTGCTGGGCGCAGGGTGAAGTGTCTGAGTTCTTTCATGTTCTCCTCGCAGCCCGCCTGGGATGCTGATCTCTCCCCACCCAGTCCCTGGTGCTCACCCCAACTCAGGCCTCTTTGCCCACCCCCCACTCCAGGATGGAAGGGAACAGCCCCCCTCCACCAGCGCTGAAAGTTGACCTCCGACCACAGAGCAAGGACTGCTCCTTTTCCTGGAGGAGCCCCCCCAGCCCCCAGCCTGCAGCCCCGCTCCCCCCAGCTGATCCCTGAGATATGCAGTCTCAGCTCCCTGTGATGTCACCCCCCTCCACTGCAGAAGCGACCCAGGGCTGCGGGAGGTTGGCGAGTGACCCGCCCAAATATTGCTGTTTGCTTTTCTCCAAAGGCACGGAGCGCTGGCTTCCCCAATGATCGTGGCTTGGCTCATATCCGTGTTTTATCTCCCCTGCAGGACTCTGCGCTCTTTGAGCAAAGAGATCACGTATTAATAATCTTCATCTCCCCCATAAGGCCTGACATAGAGAACCCCAATAAATGTTGAATGAACGCCTGAATTTTAAAAATGGGTGTACGTATATGCATTCCCAAGCAGACTGCCCGTTTTCCACCCCAGACGGGATCCATCCTATTACTTGAAAACATGCCTCTTGATCTGTAAGAGAGGCCAGAGGCTAATAACCTTCAGAGCCAGGGCATCTTTTTTCCTTGCTCAGCCTAAATTTCTCTAGAAACGACTTCAGTGCATTTTCTTCTAATCCACCTCTATGGCCACTGGGACTAAAACTCATTGCTTTGCATGGAGACAGTTACTAACTTACTCTCTGGGCTTCTCTCCAACAAATTTAATCCCAGACCCTTTATAGTTCCCTCCCCAGGGCCCTATTGCCCAGCCTTTTCCCCGTTCTGCCGCTCCTTGGGCTTTTTGCCAAGCTCTCCAAGGCCTCCCCCAGCTGAAAGGCAGGAATGGGACATACTGTTCTGCAAGGACCCATGCGCAAACTCACAGATGCTTACCTTCTGCCTATGCACGCAGGACACACACCTCTCCACACCCATTCCCTCCGCTCCTTGGCAGACACGCTTGTAGGCGGCCTCCACGCGCGGTAACAGACTCCTCTGCTCCCACCTGCGCCCCTGAGCCCCAGCCCTGCAAATTTTCACCCACCTGGACACACACGCACCGGAAGGGACCACAGAGACCTGTGCTTTTTCCCCAAGGGTGAGCCAAGCTAGGCTGAGCCCTGGGAGCCCACTTCCTCTTCCTCCTCCCCACTCTGCCTCCCGCTGCCTCTCCCTGCCTTCCTACTGAGTTCTTTCCATTGGGCCACGAGGAGCCGAACCTGCCTTCTCCCCACCTCCTCAGGGATTCTGCATTTCAGATCTGCAGGCAAGGAGTCAATGAACCCGAACCTAAGTCGGCTCCTACCTCTTCCTGCCCTGCTTGCACGCACGCCCTGTCTTCCCGCAAATCCTCAGTGAGCCTTCCATTTGCACAGACCACACAGGGCTCTCCCCTCCCTCCCAGCCCCACTTCCAGCCTTCTGGAGCCCCACAGTCTCGGGTTTTCCACCTTCTGGAAATGAACCATGGGGGAGCTTTGGAAGGAAGCGGACAGAGGCGCTGTTTCCATCTCAGACCCAAGGGCAGGCTGGCCTGCTGAGACCCTGGCCTGACTGGGGCGCCATGTCACTGGGCCAGGGGTTTGAGGAACGGGAGAGTGGGGTGATAGTTATTCGTTTGTTCAACAAATATTTATCCAGCACCGACAAAGGGCCAGGCACCTCTCCACATCCACAAAACCAACACAAACCTGCCCTTAAAGAGTGTACATTCTGTGGGTGGAGACAGAAAGTAAAATACACCCGGAGGTGGTGATAGGAGAAAGCTGGGGGGAGGCCGAGGGAGGAATGCACAAAGTAGGCCGGCCAGGGAAGGCTGCACTTGGAAGGTAAACTTTGAACAAAGACTTGAAGGACAAGCCCTGGTAAGACCTGGAGGGGACAGGGGTCCTAGCAGCAGTGGGGACAGTCCCGCAGGTGGGACGTCAGGAGACATCAGGGTAGGGAGCCCTGGAGAAGGAAGTGCCACACAGAGGAGATGCTGCCCCCCTCCCCTAGGTCTGGGACCCCAAAGGGGGAGAGGTCAGGAGAGGTGGAACAGGCCAGATTCGGCACAAAACTGTGGCCTCCCATGCGACAAAACACGCACCAGATTTTGTGGCATCGGTGCAGGCCATTTCCAGAAGGCATTTGCTGGAGCTGTGGCCAGGTGGATTGCGGGCAGCGGCGGTAGAGATGGCTCACAGGGCCTGTGGGGGTGGCGGTCACAGCCAGAAGGGGGACGCGCCCCTTAACCAAGCACTTCCCCCATCCCCTCCGTGTCTGACTGGAAGTCAGTTGCTCTGGGATGGGGGGCCTGGCTGTTGCCTGAAGCATCTCGGAGCCCAGCCGGGCAGCACTTCTGCCCCCGCGAGGCATCCACACAGACGCTGCAGCACCTGCACATCTGTCTCTGGAGCCTTTGCTGGGCCAAGGACCGCACTTGCTGCCCAGGCTGGCAAAACCCCTACAGCAACAGGAGGAGGGAGCCAGTACCTCCAGTTTTCAGAGGAGGGGCACCCACCACCCCCACATCCCCTTCGTCCCCCTGTTCCTCCATGGCCCCCTTCTTCCTGAGCCTCCAAGGGCACGAGATCACAGCCAGGTTTACCTGGCATTGAACCCACATCCCCCCTTTAGTCTTTGGCCATGGATGCCCTGGGACCCAGTGGGCTCATGTGGGGCCAAAACGGGGGAAGGAACACAGTGATATGCACCTCGCAGGCTACTGTGGGAAGCCACCGGGGGAAGGCGGGGGGTCTTGTCTCAGCCCTGGATCAAGCGGAGTGTCTCAGAATGTTAGGAAGCGCCCAGCCAAGGATGGGAAGCTGTAAACAGTTAAATCAGGGAAGGGTGCGAGTAGGTCAGTGTTTCAGTGTAACAATTAGTGAATTCAAGGTTTTCTCTGCAATGATGTCACTCTCCCTCCCTGTAGTCCTGGGAGAAAGCCTTCCAGAGCCAGAGGTAAAGGGACAGAATGGCAGCTAATCCCTGGGAGTTTGCATCTGAGCCTCAGCCCCTGCAAAGTGCAGCAAATTCCATCCCTCACGCCGCCGGGTCACATCCCGGGGACCCTCCAGATGGGGGCTGAGCCTGAGCCTAGCACGCGGCAGGTGCTCCTTGGCAGAGGGAGCCAGTGAGGCAGAGGGAGAAGAGAGACATAAAGCCCTCTGGTTAGCAACCTCCTCCTCATCTGTCACGCCCTGGCACGGTGCTGGGGCTCTGCCCTCCTGCTGAAGTAGAAAGAGGGTAGGGGAACTTGGTGTGGGGGGCTGGCCCAGGCTCTGTCCAGTTCTCCCTAGAAAGTCCCAGGGTCTGATGGGGAGGCCTTGGGGTCACGGTGACACCAAGGAGTTGGAAACGGGGGTGGGGGTGCGGGACATTCATGCCTCCGTCAGGGCAAGCTCCAGACAACCCGGTACCAGGCCAGTGCCCGGAAGGAAAGTTCTCGGCTCTCCCAAGCACATAGCTCCCCAAGTGCACGGGAGCCGTCTGCAGGGCCTCTTCCCTCCAGCTCGCTCACAGCCGGGCCATTCCTCCCCAGCACTGCCGCCCTTGCCCCAGGCCCCCAAGCTGGTCTGGCCAACTCCCACAGAGGCCGCCTTACCCCAGGCCTGCCTGAGGGGCCTCCCGCCCCCAGACTTGCCAGGACTCCGGGCAGGGCCAGCAGCCAGCCCCACCCTCCTGCGGCAGCAAAGAAGCCACTTGGGCTGGGCGAGGGGCCCAACCGGAGCACCAGGATGGATGCCCAATTCCTAGGCTGGCATGTGCACACCGCCCACATCTCCGGGCCCAAGGGCCGCGGTCCTCAACCCAACATCCCCTCCCTTAAACCTGGGGACGAAGGTGCCAGGGAAGGAAATCAGAAGATTGGGGTGAGGACTGTAGCCTTTCATCTCAAAGCCCTCTCCCCTGTCAAAGTCATGGTACTGCCCCCACATTCCTCCCTTCCCCGTGGAGGGCTCAGGGCCCCAGACACAGCCAGAGACCACCCAAAAAAGACAAGAGATATTTATTGAAATCAGCAAATTCAGATTTTTCGAGCCCTAGCCCATGGTCGCAGTCCTGTCCCTGTCCCCTCACCCCCACCCCGTAGCCACAGCACGGGGAATGGAAAAGGGGAAGCTGAGAGAGAAGGCCGCTGCCAGGGGCAGACCGCCTCCCTGTGTGGTGACGGCAGCCCAGCCGGTGGCCACCACCACAGGCCTCTCCCTATAAATTAAGTCCCTGCAGCCCCAGCTAAGGGGCGAGGCGTACTTGTGGAAGGAAGGCCAGAAGGCAGGGTCTCGGACTCCCAGCCAAGGAACAGATTGAGGGCAGAGCTCAGGGTGGAAAGAAGCCAAAGGGAAAGAGAAGAGGTATGGGGCTGCAGGGTGGCAAGGCCCCCCACTTTTGGTCCCAGGTGGAAGGAGGCCAGTTGGTCCAGTTTTGGTGGGTTTGAAGAAGGGAATGTATTAGTAAGCACGGGATGGGGGGGGACCTGCCACCAGGCACCCCAGAGGAGGCAGGCCGGGCCCCCACCCTGGCTAAGGGAGTATGAGAGTCCCAGGGGCTCTCAGGGAATGTCACTGCTAAAAAATATATATATATATTAACCATCCATGGGAAGGCGGGCACAGGGCTGGGGCGGGGTCAGAGGATCTGGCGCGGCATCCCGTAGCCAGTCATGCCGGCCTGGGACGCCCCGCGGTTGGTGCCCATCTGCAGCCCGATGACGTTCTTGCCCTCCTGCAGCTGGTTGTCCGAGAAGTTCCGAGGGTTCTCCTTGGACTTCCTGGGTGGAAAGGAAGGCCGGTGAGGTCGAGCCCGTAGGCTGCCCCAGCGCACGTCTGCCCTTGGACAGGCTGAGGCTTCGCGGGGAGCTCGGGAGCCAGCGTCCACCCCGTCTGAGAGGCCCGAGCTCTCTCAAGCCACCGCCTCGTGTCTCAAAGGGGACAGTCCCTTGCCATCCCTGGAGAGTTGCGAGGGACAGGAAAGGGCTTTGTGCCAGACCCTTCGCTAGCGACAGGGACAGGCCTGGGCCACCTTGCCATACTCACTTGGGAAACCAGTTGGGATCCCCAGAGAACAGCCCATCGTCCCGGGCTACGGCCAGCCCGCCCAGGTTCATCAGCGTCCGCTGCACACAGGCCATATTCTTTCCTGGGAAGGGGAAGGGGCTGTGTTGGCCTCAGCGGCGCTGGGGTCCTGGGGGCCAGCCTTCCACCCCGACCACTTAGGCCAGCATCTAATTCCCTAATGCACCTAATGGCTTCTTGATTCCCTTTGTCCCCACACCCTCCTCCACCCCAGCCTCCCACATGGCCCATTCTACCATGAAATACACATACACACACACACACACACACACACACACACACACACACACAGCCTTTGTCTTCAGGGTGCCAGAAACCCACACCGTCTTCCGGCGCTATCTGGCCCTGCCAGGTGTCTGGTTTTCTTCTGGGAGACAGTCCCCTGGCCCCGACCCACCTTCCCAGAGGTCCACGGTCTGGAAGATGTCAGTGGTGTTGATGCCGTAGCGCTCGGCCGCCTGCAGGAACTGGGAGATCTGCTCCATCTGCTTGAAGGCCATGGTGGAGGCCTGGATCTTCTTCACTGGGGCCTGTCCCTCGGGGTATAGCCCATTGATGAGCTCACACAGCACCTGGGTGAGGACAGAAGGTGTGCGGAGGTGAGAGCCCGCTGGCCGGGAGACAGCCGGCGTGCCCCCGGGGTTCCTGTCCCACCGGAACACACCCTCCCGTGGTCCTCTCCCTGGAGCACCTCTTCCCTCAGTCCCCCAGGGCATCCCCTTTCACTCCGTGGGTCCTCTGCGAGGTAAAGACCCAGGCTCAGGAGGAAGTGGAACAAACCCAGGCCCCCCAGGCTCCCCCGGCCCCCCCAGCGCTCCTGGTACTTCCAGTCAGAAGGGCTCAGCTCTCACCGTGCCATCCTTAAGCCAGTTCTGGAAGTTCTCGCGCCCGGGCTGGGGCCGGCCCACGTCCTTGCGGCACTGGGTGGTGATCCACTGGACCAGGATCTGTTCCAGGTCCACATCGTACTGCTTCTCGATCTTCTGCTGCACCTCCCGGCTCAGGCCGTAGGCAGGTCCCCTGTTGGCCATTCCCTAGGGCAGTGGTGGCTGTGGGGTGCTGGAGAGAGGACACAGTGGGGCCCGCAGTCAGGACTCTGAGCCTGCAGGGACACACCCTGTATCCCCAGGGTGGGCCCAGAGGTGAGAACCACGGTCAAACGGGGACTCACCCCGACTCTGGCACAGGGGCCAAAACAACACCGCTCAGAGCTCTGGGGTAAGGGCCCGTGCAGGCCATGTCTGGGCTCCCCACCCCCACGGCAGGCAGACTTCGCTGAGTGCTGCCATTAGACTTCATTCGAACAGCCCCACCACTAGAATGAAACAGAAAACCCACTGGAGTAGAATTCGGGGTAAACAAGGCCCCTCGTTCAGGGTGGTCTGCTTTGGCAAAGGCAAACCAGTCATTAGAACCGCAGCCATGGGGAAGAGGAGGATTTGGGGAGAGGAAGACATGGCTAAGGAACTTCTTCCAGGAGCCAGAGAAGCGGACACACCCACCCTCACCACCAGCCTCTGGGCTTAACGGAGCACCCCCCAATCCGTGCCCGCGACTGTGGAAGCGGTGGAAGTTCTTGGTCCTGGAAAGCCAACAGAGAGACAAAGAGAGCACCCAGGAAAGCGGAAGGCTTGTGCGGGATGAGACTGTACAAATCAGACCCTATGTGACAGAAACGTCGAGAAGAGTGTGGGCAGAAGCAGTCCAGAAGCCTTCCTGGAAGAGTAGGTCTGAGTAGTCCCTTAAAAGATTTCAGCAGGGGGGGCCGGAGTGGTTCAGTGGGTTAAGCCTCTGCCTTCAGCTCAGGTCCTAACCCGCATCCCCTGCTTCCTCCACTCTCTCTGCCTGCTTCTCTGCCTATTTGTGATCTCTGTCAAATAAATAAATAAAATCTTAAAAAAAAAAAAAAAGATTTCAGGAGGCAAAAGGAACTTCCCATGAGAAACCAGGCAATCAAAACCAATCCCACCTCCCCTTGACAAGCTGTGGTGGGCAGAATAACGGTGCCGCCCAAAGGTGTCTACATCCTAACCTCCAGAGCCTGCGAATGTTACGTGGCAAAAAGGGCCTTTGCAGGTGGGTCCTGACATGGGAACCACGGTGTGCTGGATCATCCAAGACGGCCCAGTGTCCTCACAGCAAGGGGCTTTATACACACAGCAGGGGCCTTACAAGCGAGGGAGGGAGGCAGACAAGTCAGAGCGGGAGAAGCGAGAAGCTGGAGTCAGGCAGACAGGGGCTCCCAGAGGCTGGAAAAGGCAAGGAAAGGGGTTCTCCCCTGAACTCCCCAAGAAGAAAGGCAGCCCTGCTGACACTTCGATTTGAACCTCTGCTGAGGTCTCTGAACTGCCCCACGTGAAACGGGTGTGGCTTTAAGTCACTGAATTTGCACTCATCTGTTACAGCAGGAATAGGGAACTAACCTGGGAGGTGGGTGGTATTTTTAGGGAAACTTTGGAGGGAAGGGAGACTTGGGGAAACACACTTGAACTTCGGTTGAGAACCTTTATCAGGAAGAACTGGGTGGTTTCCAGACCTCAGGCCCAGGGGCAGTCTGTCCCCACCTCCTACCTCACTGCCTAGGTCCCAGCCCCAGGACCCTGGGGAGCAAGTCCCAGGAATGCTACCCATGGTGGGGGGGGGGCAGGACCAAAGTGGGGACAGGACCTCACTCCCTGTCCCCATCCCTCTGTGAATGAGCTTCCCTTTCTTCCCCTTCCACTGTGAGATCCAGCTGTGGCCCACACAGTGGGGGAGGGGGGGACCCCCAGGCACAGGCACCTGTGCCCAAGGACAGGAAAGGAAGCCACTCCTACTCCCCACATTTGGCTCCAGGCCAGGTCAGACTGAAGGGATGAAGTCACTGTCTCCCTCCCTCCCACACACCCCAGGTTCAACTATCCTGCCACCACCTCCCCCCCCAGGGGCCTCAGGGCTCAGCGGTGGAGCCAGGCCCAGGGGCAGAGCCGCCCCAAACCCCTCCTGCTCTCAGCCCCTGGGTCTCAGGCCGGTCCCCTCCCCCACACTCCAGCCTGGCGGCTCCCCTCTACTCCAGCTTATCCAGCAGCACATTTCCGCCGCGATCCTCCCCATAAATCAGTTATTTTTATACCTCATTAAGAGCAACCCACCCTCACTTCCTCCAGCCTGAAGGCTGGCGCAGATAAATGCTGGTCTGGGCCTTGACCCACACCACCAGGCACACATACTCTGGGCTGGGGGAGGGCAAGCAGAGAGCAGCTCAGAAGCAAGGCGACAAGACTGTCTCCTCCCAGCCCGGCCCCAGCAGCTCAGCCTGGGGTCCGTGACACACAGGGGCATGGCTAGGAGACCTGGGGGAAAGGGGGGTCGGGGCTGCGGCCACCTGTAAGCCCCTTTTCAACGTCCGGATCTCTCTTCTGGAGCAGCTTCACCAGGGTCCCCTGGGCCTAAGGGTTGTCTCCTTGCAGCCAAGTGGCCTGAGGCCAAGAGATCACAGTGGCCCAGGGAGAAAAAGGGCAGAAGAATCATTAACCCAGGCACCGAGTTAAGAGGGGAGAGCAGTCCTGACGCCCTACCCTTCCGGTGTCCTCCCACAAGGGCAAAACAGACTTGGCCTCCCAGCCGCCCACCCCTCCTCCCCGCCCCGGGGCTCCGAGAGGATGCTGAGGGCCCCTTCCCCACTCCGGAGCCTGGACACAGCTGGGCCTGTCACAGCCTCCAGCCACAGTGTCTTGGGTCCCCACAGGGGCCACTGTCCTGGAGCCTGGTAGGTGAGGAGCCCTGGGGCAGAGCTCCAGGAAGGGGTGGCCCAGCCAGCCTGCCCCCAGCTGTTGCTCGTCCCCGCCCCACTGGGCAGGCTCACGCTGATGGGCCCCAGCTGGTGTGCCCAGCCGAGTGACACCCAGGGGACCTTCTGCAGTCCTGCCTCAACAGAACGGAAGACAGCCAGGTGGCTGCTGGGGTGGGGAGCGGTGTAGCCCCAGGGCTGGGGAGCCAAAGAGGAGACAAGATCTGAGCCACTTCGGGGTCGGCCCCCTGGTGAGTAACATAAGCCAGAGGGGCCTACAGCTGCCTACAGCAGGGGGAACAGCCCTCACCCCCACCCACAAGACTTCAGTGTTCCCAGAAGGGGGAGGGGCAGGCCTCTCACCTCACCCCACCCCACGCAGATGCCAAAGGTCCGTGGCTGGGGTGTCTCACGGGGGAAGACAAAGAAAGAGACTCTCCTCTCATTGTGCACACAGGTCGCAGGGGAACTTCCCAAGTCAGAATGGGGCTTAGGGCTATTCCGAAAGGACCAGATGGGGGGGGCGCCCGGCCCCAGAGGGAAGCGCAGAGGAAGCAGGCAGAGGCAAGGGTGGTGGACACCTGGGACCGAGGAGCGCCCCACGGGGGACAGCCCCTCCCCATCAAGTCAGCGAGCAGAGCAGAAGAGCAGAAGAGAAAGCCGAAGCCGCACAAACAGGAAGCCGCAAGGCTAGCGGGCGGAGGGGTGAGGTGGGGCCGTTGCCATGGCTTCTGTGTACCAAACACAGGAACCCCGCAGGGCGGGGGCGCCGGGCAGAAACACGCATGCAACACCCATGCAGTGGAGAGGAGGCTCCGCGCACGGGGGCTAGACGCGGCCTCTGTGGAAAAGCCCCCCCCACCCCACCCCCCGGCAGTTCCCAGGTGCAGGCAGGTGGGAGGGATCCCTTGTGGGGCGGGGGTGGGGGGGCGTAGGTCAGCGGCAGAGGCGGGGGTGGGGGTTGGAGGCGTGGGAAGTTACACGTCGGGGGACAGAGAAGCGGACTCAAGGAATAGTTCAGAAGCAATGCTCTGGGCTCCGAAGGCAAGTCCGCTCCCTGGAAATCCCGGAGAGAGAAGGGCTGGGGCAGAGGAAGGATCCCAGGCCAATCCAGGAGCAGCAGAGGGCTGGGGCGCTGGAGGGGGGCTGCAGCCGGACAAAGACCACCGGTTGCCCCCCGCAGGGCAGGGCCCCGCCGCCCCACCCTACCTTGGCCCCCCTGCAGCTGCAGGTCTCCCGGGGGAACGAGGAAGGAGACATAGGGAGGGGCGCTGGGGAGGGGAGCTGTCCCCGCGCCTGGTGCTCTGGAGTCAGCACTCGGGAGAGCCCAGCCTAGCCGTCCCCGGGACCTCCCCCCCACCCACCCTCACTCCCGCCACGCTCCCTTCTGCTCCCAGACGCCAGGCTGCCCCAGAACTCCCCGGGCCCGGGCTCCAGCAGGCTCCGGGGGGCCCGCAGGGGCGGGAAGGCGGCCGTCCACTTCCGGTCCTGCAGGTCCGGCCCCGCCGCCTCGCCGCGCCACGCCCTGGGCCGTTAAGGCCGGATGAGTCACCCACCGCCCACCGCCGGGGTGACGCAGTGGTCTGGGCAGCCCGCCCGCGCGCCCGCCCGAAGCCCCCGCCGGCTTTCCCAGCAGCAGGGGGCGCGGGTGGGGGCCCCGGCGGGCGCGGGGGCAGGAGCGCCCGCAACCAACCCCCTCCCCACAGCGCCCGCCCGCGCGGGCTGCAGCCCCGGAGCCCGAGGTCGGGGGGCTGTCCGCGCCAGCCCGAGACCCCGACTCGCCAGCAGGACGGCGGGCGGGAAGAGGAACGGAAAGGGCGGCCTCGGGGCCGCGGAGCGCGGGCAGCTCCCACACGTGCTCCTGGAACCCGGCACTGAGGGTCGCGGGGAAGCTCCGGCGCGCCCGCCCTCGGGGCACGCGGGTCAAGCCCCGGCGCCCGCCGCTCCTCTCCCCCGAGGGCCGGGTGCCCCCGCTCCGGACGGACGCCCTGTCTGTGCACCCGCAACCGGGGCTGACCTCATCGCCCAGCAATGCGGGGTCGGGGCTTGGGGACAGGACCCGACAGCACGGGGCGGCAGAGCGGTCGTCGGACCCTCGTCGTAGTCCCGGGAGCAAGCACCGGCCTCCCGCTTCCCGGGGCGCGCCCCCCGGCCCCTGCTCACCGTTGGCCGGTTGCCGCGGTACACTTCTGGCAGGGGCTGCGGGCCGAGTGGCGCGCGGGGCCGGGGCCGGGGGTTTTCAGCGGGGTCCCGCCTCGGACGGGGCGGACCCGGGGCGGGGCGAGCGCCCCTGGCTTTAAAGGCGCCGCATGGCGGACGCGGAGGGCAGAGCTTCTGCGGGAGGGGCGGTGGGCGGGAAGCTGGGCCAGAGGATCTGAGGAGTCCGAGCCTACGCGGGCCACGGCAGCGGTCGCCATCCGTGAGAACCTCGACCTCCACCCCGGAGCTCTTAAACTTATGCCTTGGTGGGAAGCTTTTTGCCTGGAAGGTCAGCTCAAGACTATGGGCTTGTTTATGTGGGAAGAAGCCTCTTGACTTAAAAAGGGTGGTTAGGTAAATGGAGGCACAGGAAGACCCCTACCCCCATCCCCCAGGTGACTAGGATGTGACAGTACTGGGGCTGCAGGCCAGGACAGTACTCCTGCTCTCCGCCTTCTTCAGGCCTGGGCAGGAACCCACAGTGAGGTCATTCTTCGCCTTGGGACCCAGGGTTGGGATCTGATTTCTCTCCCCTCCGGTTCCTCCTCTCTGACCTGGCATGTCTTAATCCTGGAGGGTCCCCAGGGATCAGAAGAGGAGGCCTCAGGGGAGGAGCCTGGCAGTTCTTCTGTGTCTGAGGGTGGAGGGGAGCATAGTTTAAGGGTTGAAGGAGCGCCCCTCTGCAGGCTTCTACGGAGGCTTCTCTTCCCCTCTGGTAGAGTCCCTGCCTACATCCAACAGTGGGGACCTTCCTGTTTGGTAGAAGCTACTGTTTCGCCTGGTTTCCAAGGACATCCAAGGACCACCAGTGTCCTCCCTCCACTGCTCCATCCCCGCCTCAATGTTATAACCCGCTGTCAAGTGAGCCCTTGGGAAACCAGGTGTTTTTCACTCCTCTGTGCATTCTGCCTGGGATGCTTTCCCTCCCTTGACCAACTTCTGACCTGCCCTACTCCATACCCGCTGTGTGACCTTTGGACAAATTCCTACAGCCTCCACGCTTCCGTTTCACAGTCTAGAAAATGGAGCCAAGAACGGTTCCTCCTTCTGAGTGGTGGAAAATGATGTAAGGAGCTTAGAGCCGTGCCTGGCACACAGTGGGGGCTCAGCCCCTCACTACTGCTATCACTCCCACTCCAGGAGGATCTCCCAGCCGGAGGTAGCACTGTCCCAGCACATGCTATAAACACTCATTGTTGACCCCTTCCTTTGTGCAGCCACAATACGCAACACAGAGCTTTATCACAGAACTTATCACATCACACTGTAACTCTTTCTCTGCCAGCTTCTCGGACTGGAAAGAACTCGCCAAGGGCAAAGGCTTAACCTAACAAGCTTTGTTTTCTTAGCATCTAACTCAATGGCTGTCTTTAGTAGCTGGCCTCAGTAGGCACCCAATAAATGCTTTCTGCAAAGATATGTTGAATACACTTCTGTTCATTCAGGAAGAGTCTCCTCCTTTTTCAGGGTTTAGGGATTTTTCTACCTCTCTCTCAGATTCAAAGGCAGAAGATACACAAACATTTTTCAGAATTTCTTTATTCACATGTAAAAAACCTCACCCACACCACAAATACCATCACCATCACCGCGCGGGCACACACACACACACACACACACACACACACGGGCAGACCTAAGATCCCTGTTCCAGTCCCCAGGCTCTAGGGGCCCAGCACAGACATCTCCTGCCAAGCCCTCCCAACCCACCATAAGGGCTATGTCTGAGCACCAAAGGGGCAGGCCGGGCTGTGCTCCAGCTGGAGCTGGGACTCCGTGGGCCCTTCTCTGCCTAGTCTGTGCATCTTTACCCAGCTTTCACAGCAGGGTGGCCTGTTCAGGATGGGGGACTGGCTGTCTGTACACTGGTAACCGGGCCCTAGTGGCATCTCTGCGGCGCCGGAAAGCCAGGAACTCCTCCCGGAGGGCAGCGCACCGAGCCTCGGGGCCTGGAGCACGGGCCATGCTAGGGAGGCTGCCCTCCACCGGAGTCTTCACATCTGCAAGGGGAGAACAGAACAAGGGGAGGGAGAGGTCTGAGGGTCACTGGCCCCATGAAGACCCCGGGTCCTGCCAGTGCAGATGAGCCACGGGAACAGGAACAGCAAGCCTGGGGCATGGGGGCATGGGGGCAATGGGGACCAGATGGGGAACAGAGTGGGGAGACGGGGAACAGTGGGGCCACACTGCCCCTCTGAGGGCTCGCACACCTAGCTCTGGCTCAGCTTCAGGTCGGGGCCGAGGGCCAGCCAAGCCCAGGTGCAGAGTCTCCAGCAGTTCCATGTCCCCAGGGAATTCGGAGTCCCACTCGTAGTTCTCATCCACAGACGTGTTCCTCCTGTTAAAAGGGACAAATGTCCAGCACTGGGTGGAGTTTTGAGGGTGACCACAAAAGCCCCAACCCAGAGTCCCCAAGCTGAGGTGGGGCCATGCATTCCCTGCAGATCCTTGGGACCTCAGCCAAAGCTTCTAACAGGGGACAAGTTTTCCTGGTCCCAGGGTGGGAGTGGAGCCTGAAGGCACAGAGCATTAGGGGAAGTCTGGGCAGGAACGGGAGCCAGGACAGGCATGGACAGGGACTGTCCTCACCTCTTGCTGACTGTCACCACATGCTCCCTCCGGGGCCACCTCTCAGGGCCACTGGCCCAGCTGCTGGTGTCTCCGGGAGCAGGGCTGAGGTAGCTGCCTCCTGCAGAGGGGGCTGTAGAGGGGGGCCGAAGGAAAGAGGCACTGCCCCGCCCGCTGCTCTGGCTGGTGAGGCTGCCCCGAGGGGCAGCAGGGAGGAGGCCTGGCAGCAGCCGGTCCCTCAGTGTCCAGTCAGCCAGTGCTGTGTACAGGGGCTCTGGGGCGGCCCCGGCCCCCATCGCAGACCCGGGAAGCACTGCCCCGGGTGACACAGTGTCAGGGTCCAGGGAATGAAGGAGAGAGGAGGTGGGGCAGGGCCGGGTATCCATGTAATCTGGGGGTGGAGCAGGCGCGGGCTCCTCAAAAGGGGGCCAGTCCCCGTCCACGTTCATCTCCCGGAAGAAGGGCAGGCTCAGGTACTGGAGCAAGGGTCCCGGAGCAGGCCGAGGACTAGGTGGTGCTGCGGGAGGGGGCCCCACGGGGCTGATGTCTGCAATGCAGAGCGGCTGGGGCTGCCCGCTGGGGCTGCTGCTGCAGTCATAGGACCTGGCCTGGCGCTGGGCCGGGGTCCGAGGTTCAGCTCGTTCAGAGCCTGACCTTTCTTCAGGGGTTCCCACATTGGGTCCCATCACAAAGCGGCCATCTGGTCCCCGAGAGATGGGCTCCAGGGGTAAGGGCCCCCGGCTAGGCGGAGGATCCGGAGGGGGGCTGGGGGGGCCAGCCGGCTCCCCCCAGAGTAGACTCTGGCGCAGGCTGGGGACTGGGGAACCCTGGAGCTTCAGCTTCGCCACGCTATCAGGGCTGCCTGAGCCCGGGGCAGAGCTGGGGAAGGACAGGAGATCAGGCTCTGTGGCAGGCGTCCTATCCCCGGCCAACCCCCTCCTCCCCCCAGGAACCAGCCTCGGGCCTTGAGAGGTTTGGTGTACCACAGAGCGGAGCTGGGGAGAGTAAGGGAGACGAGGACACCCCGTGGTGGAGCAGCGGCGGGAAGGCACAGGCAGCAGTGGACAGGCCCCAAGCCGGGGCCTCCGCACTCCCACCCTCACCCCCTTCCCACTTCCGTTCCGCCCCTCCCACCCCACCCCACAGCACCACCCCAGAAACCGAGATAGTGGGCGCAGAGGGCAGGCAGGAGGAGGCCGCAGAGGTGGAGGGACTTACTGTGGAGCTGACTTCCCGGGAGGAGAGAAGATAAGAGGCGCATCTGTTCGGGCAGGAGAACCAGAGGGGACACCGGCAAAACTCAGGGCCTCCAGGGCCCCAGGCGCTGAGCCTCAACCATCGCCCGCCCGCAACCCCTCCCGCCCCGGGACTGTGCTGGCGGACAGGACGCACCTGGGCCCCCGAGCGGCGGGGCGGGGCGTGGCGGCGGCGGGGAGGGGCTTCCATTCCCCCGTAGGCGGGGCTTAGAGAGGGCGGGGCCTACCTTGGCGGAGGCGCTTGCGGCGGCGACGGGCTGCCCTGCGCCGGTTGGTCAGGCAGGCGGCCAGGATGCTCACGAGGACAGCCACGCCCAGGAAGCAGACCCCGCCCACCACGCCGGCCAGGACCGGCTGCGGCAGGAGGCCCGGCAGCTGTGTGCGCGAGGGGTAGACTTCCAGGCCTGGGCGGGGCCACGAGGGGGATGTCGGTGCCCGCGACCGCAGGCTCGGAGCCCCCCGGCCCAGCGCCCTGCCCTCCCGCCGGCTTCTCACCGGAAGTGGAGACGTTGGCCGTGTTGCTGGGATCGCTGACATAGCTACCGGCCAGGGCCACGAGCCGGAACTCGTACAGTACGTCCTGGGGGTGGGGGTCCAGGACGGAGTCAGGGCCCAGCTCCCCTCACCGCAGCCCCATTCAGAAAGACCGCAGTTGGGAGGTTAGGGTGGGAGGCTGAGGCCTGGGCTGGAGCTGGGCCCGGGACAGCCGAGGGGAGGACCGTCCCCGTGCCTGCCTCCCACACACCTTGATGAGCCCTGGCACCAGCAGCTGCGTTTCCGTGCCTGCCGCGACGCGGTCCAGCACCTCCCAGCCCTGGGAGCCCTGCCGTCCCTCCAGGACATAGCCGTCCAGCGTCTCAGGGACCAGTTCTGGGGGATCCCAATGCAGGAGCACCCCCCGGGGTGTCCTCACTGCCACCAAGCCTCGGGGAGGTGAGAGGAGCTGAGGCATCTCAGTAGGCGGAAGCCTGGGGGCCGCCGGCGTGGTGGGAAGCCCTGAATAGGACAGATAGGGTTAGGCTCCCAGTGCCCTTCCCCTATCCCCTGCCCCTTCCACCACACGCCTGCCCCTCCAACCCACCTCTCACCACCACCCCTGCCCCCACCTCTGTACCCATTCTCCCAGAGCCCCAAAGACAAGCCTGAATCATGTACCACAAACCCCTGCGGACCCCAAGCAGCTGCCCAGCATCTCTGTCCCCTCCCACCCAGGCGGTCACATGTCCGGGTTCTCCCTACCAGTCCTTTCCCACCCCGTCGGCTGCTCTCCGGGGCAGAGGCTTCTCACCTTCCGGGGCAGACAAGACAATCTCGCTGAAGGGCCCACTCCCCAGCTTGTTCTGTGCTAGGACGCTGAACTGGTACTGGGTTTGGGGCTGCAGCCCCGGCACGAGGAGGTAAGCAGCCCCCACAGGCACTGCCAGGGACACCCAGTCATGGTGGGTTCGGTCAGGACGCTTGGCCCTGGAGGACATGAGGAAATGAGGAAACCTCATGAACTAGGAGGCCCAGGAAGCTTTTGGAGTATAGAGATCCGACCTGTCCCTTCTCAGCCATCCGGGGTCTCAAGACACGGGGCCTGAACACCTAAGATCCTCTGGAAATAGGGCAGATTTCGGGCAGGGCTGGACTGGAGGGGTGGGGGAAAGGGCAGAGGGTCCGATGGAATGGGGGTTAGGGGGACAGACAGGAATGGCAGGGGTAGGTCACTTACAGCGGGGTATACCAGACACTGAACCTCTGCAGATAGCCGCCATCAAAGCCAGGCTCCCAGGAGACATTGGCACCCTTGGGCAAAGGCACCACGGACACATTGGTGACAACGTGAGGGCTGGTGCCTGGGGAGGGGGAATTGAGGGAGGGACAATGGTCAGGGCTCTGGGGAAGGTGAAGAACTAAGGGGAGTCCCAGGGCCTCTCACCTCTGTATATCATCCCAGGCATCCCCGCCCCTCCCCAACCCATGTAGACTTCCAAAAATAATCCCCCTCTCCGGGCGCCGTCTCCTGTCCCACACAGTTTCCTCCAGCTCCTGGCCGGCCCTCCAGCCACTAACCCAGCACGTAGACATGTGTGGAGGTGGCCACTCGGGCCACAGCGTTGCTGGCGGTGCACTCCCAGCGCCCATGGGCCTCCTTGGTCAGTGGCCGCAGGATGAGGCTGCTGCTGTTGTCCACCTGGGCCTGGGCCTGCAGCCCCCGGCCCACCTACAGAACCACTGGTCAGCCCTGAGGACACACGCAGCCACCCCTCACTGAGGGCAGCTCCAGTGTCCTCCCCACCCAGGCCCTGAAGGGCCCCCTCCTTCCCACTGGATGAGCAGGTCAAGGAGAGGCAGGGGTGTAGTGGGCGGGAGCCCAGGCAGAGCGGACTCAGGAGCCTTACCTTGGCCCAAGAGATAGCAGGAGGGGGGTCTCCTTGAGCAGAGCAGGGGATGAGTAGCTCCCGCCCTACTTCTTGAAAATATTCTTCCTTGGGCCGTTCTAGAAAAGCTGGGGGAGCCTGCAAGCCAGATCTGGCATCGGGAGGGGCCTCTCACCCTGCTAGCTAAGGGCCGCTCCCCTCTCTGGGTCTCCAGTCATACTCCATTCTCAGGCCCCATCTCCCTCCCTGTAGTCTCTGCTCCCTGGAGGGGCTGCAGGGAATTGGGGGGCTGCACAAGGACTGGGGGGCTGGGAAGCCTCTCTGGGGATGTATACACCTCCACAGAACGCCCTTTCACCCTCCCTTCTGCTGCCCACTCCTTCTCCAGAGAGGCCAAGGTTAGTAAGTTGGCCTGGCAGGGTATCTTACTTTGGGGGTGTGCGGGCCTTCCATCCCACCTCCCCAGCACCGACTCTGCAGAAACCTCTGGGGTGGTGCCTGACAGCTACGGCTGTGCCCACCATGGGAAAGACGGGAAGCCCCTCCCCACGCATGACTGCCCCACCCCCTGGTCCTCCAGCATCAAGGCCAGGGTGCATCCTCAGCCACCTGGCCCGGTGCGGCTGCCCGTCCACAGGCTCACCTTGAGCAGCACGCGGGTCACCGGGGAGGGCCCAGCGGTACCAAGACTGTTGTAGGGCGTGCAGGAGTACTCTCCCAGAGCGTCCTCGTTCCCCAGGGCAATGATCAGTGAGCCCTCCGGGCCCTGGGACCAGCCAGGGAGCTGGAGGGGAGAGGAGAGAGGAGGTGGCCACCAGTCCCAGCAGCAGGGCAGGGGTGGGAGAGGGAGGAGAAAGCCGCCTCCCTGCAGAGGACTCCTCCTCCAGACCTCTCTGAACTGGTCTTTCACTTCTCTTCCCCAGGGGCGCCCCCTGGAGCTGAGCTCCCTGCCTGCCAGGGTGTCCCCCACCTGTCTTCCCATCATTCCACGATGAAAGTCAGCATTTTCCATCCCAAATCCCTTCCTTTCCCTGGCTTCCCTATTTCTTTGTTAAGGGCCCCACTGTCCCTACTAACCCCAGACTCCTCACTCCCCCATCCGAATGCTCACCAGCTCTGTCCTCTGAGAAGGCCTTTGTCTAGGCGTCAAGCCCGTCCACTGCCATGACCTCCTCACCTCTCCCCTGGACCGTCTCAACAGCCTCTGAACCCCTGTCCCTGCGTCCACTCTGTCCTCCACTCACTGACGGACTCAGCTCTTGTTCAGAGCTCCGAAGCTGTCACACCTCTGCTCAGACAACTTCACAGGCTCCAACTGCCTGCAGGCTTTTTTGGTAACATTCAACAAAAATGTACTGAGTCCTAATTGCAGAAGCCCCGGGGACCCTGGGATCCAAAGACACGGGGGCAGCCCCCCATGGGTTGTATTCCCTTTGCGAAGATGGCCAGGGAACAATGGAACAGTCACTCGGTATCCACAGAGCTTCCTTCTGGCCCCAACCTATCCCTTGAGCTTTCTCGGTAGAATCACGTCCCCACAGGCACTGTGACTCCCACCAGCCCCCCGCCCCGACCCTGGGATTCACCATACCCTACACACACTGCACGGTTCCCTGCCCCAGGGCCCTGGCTTCCACTTGGAATGTCTGTGCCTCCCCAAGGCCCATCACCAAAGTCCCAGAAGCAGCTGCTGAGCTCTCCTCAACCAGCCCCAGCCTTCCAGCGTGTGTGCTGCCCTAGCCCCTCCAGGGCTGTGCTTTTAAGGACAGTTGTGGCATTCCTGTTCCCCAAACACCCCACACAGCCCCGGGGAAGAAGTGTACCCCAGCCACCAACCTGAATTCAGTGGAGCTCCCTCCAGCCCAGCTACCCTGACTAGGAGAACACTAAGCTGAGCCCTTCCTTCCCCTGAGGCCGAGGCCCCTACCTTATCCAGCTGCAGGGCCTGCCCATCCTTGGTCCAGCTGACAAAGAGCAGCGGGGGGTTAGCCCGGACCGGGCACTGGATCACCCCCCGCATGCCCACAGGCAGGGGTGTCTCCGGAGGCATCGCTGTCACCTGGGCTGGGTCTGGTGGAGGGGAGCAGTGGCAGGTTGGAGGGCAGGAGCTCAGCCTGGCCCAGGGGAGGGGAGCAGACTGGGGAGGGAACGGGGTCAGGCTTACAGAGCACCGTGAGGTAGGCAGAGGCCGAGGGCGGGCGCGGGAGGCCGTTGCTGGCCACGCAGGTGTAGCGGCCCGCGTCATCAGGCTGGGCAGCCTGCAGTCGCAGACTCCCGTCCACCAGGATCCGCACGCGGGGCTGCAGCCGTCTGCAAGATGGCATGTGTGGGCCGGGTTCCAGGCTTTTTCCTCGAAGGCTGCCTACCGGCCCCTCACCCACCCCCAAGCCCTACCTGATGTGAAACACGTTGGTGCTGTCCTGGAACCAGCTATAGGTGAGGTTAGTGGGGTACGCCTCAGCCCGGCAGGCCAGGGAAACATCCTGGGAGGCATTGACCGTGCTGTTCCTGGGGGGTACCACGATGACTGGGGGACCTGTTGGGGGAGCACAAGGGGAGGGACCAGCATCAGCCCACAGTCTGCCCAGAACCCTGAGGTCCCTTCAGCAGATCTTCCGGATCTGCATTCTGGAATACAGAAGGGGCTGCTACAGGGCCTCGGGGAGCCGAAATGGGCTCTGACCCTGTACGTGAAAAAAGTTCCTTCTCTCCCCCAGACCAGTTCCCCTTCCCTCCAGGAACACCACCATTCACCCAGATTCCCCAGCCTAGAAGCTGTGTGTGTGCGTGTGCGTGTGTGGGGGGTTGGGAAATCGGTTTTATTAGTTGCCTATTTACCCTTTACATCCCTCTTCTGTCTCACCTGAAGTCACCTCTGTGTGTCTTACCCTACTGCGGATACCCAGTACCTTACCCCAGGATACTGCAGCAACCTCTGACCCCGGCTCCCCCTCTCTGCCCCTCCGAAAGCCATTCATGTAGAAATGCCTCCCTTTGGCCCCAGGACACTTCTGCCCCAGAACTCACAACTCCTGGCTCCTACCACGTTAAGCTCAAATTTCTTGATCTAGCCTCATGGGCCCTCATGATCCAACGGCTCCCAGCCTGGCCAACGTTACAGACTCAGGTCACTAGGGGCAGCCGGCTCTGCGCCTCATTCCCACTGCCCTGCCTTTGCTCCGAACCCCATCTGGAACGCTCTTCCCACGGAGTCGGGCCAGGCCACGCAGTCTGGTCGGCTGCTCACCGCCCTCGCCCCTCCCTGGGCTCTGCTGCGCCAGTGGTCAGTCCTAAGAGGTAATGATCCAAGCTAGCATAGAGAACACCACCGGCACACCGGCCGCTCCCATAAGCACGTCACCGCACGACTCTTCACAAGTCCTCACAAGTGCCTTCTGTGGGAGGAGTTACTGTCTCCCCTCCACAGATGAGGAAATGGAGGCTCAGAGGCAGAAAAGTGAGGAGAGCTGCCCCAGGTTAACAGGGCAGGCAAGCCTCATCCGGGCCTTCCCGCCACCGGTGAACTTGGCCCCTAGCAGTTCCACGCACGCACGCCCTCAGGACCAAGGAGAGCGGCAGGACGCTGGTTCCTCTGACTTCCCTGCGGAGGAGGGATGGCAGGCTGAGTCCGGGCCCCGTTGCTCACTTTCCTCAAAGGGGTTTGGACAGGAATTACTAAGTGCTGATCGCTGTGCTCGGTTAAGTTCTTGTAATAGTGCTAAGATGCAAATATGAACCTCCTTATATGTAGACGAGGAAACTGGGCATCGGGGGGGGTCACACACTAAACTGCTGGGCATTAAATGTCTACTTGTCCATTCACTGATCCTTTAAAAATTAAGATGCTGGTTTTGGAGGACCAGCCTGAACTGGGAGCTCCCTCTCTCTCCACACACCTCCCCACTTCTGCTGTGTGCACCCCAGCCGCAGGTCATGGCCCTCCCCCCCGAGAGCACCTAGCACCAGCAGCTGGGTGGCGTGGGAGGTGCTGCCCTCGGTGCTGGAGGCTTGGCAGGTGTAGACTCCGGAGCTGCCTCGCTCCACCCGTCGGATCCACAGCGTCCCATTCTGCACCTAGCATAGGAGGGGATGAGGAGGGTCCCCTGTGCCTCCCCCTGCCCTCCCACCGGCCTCCAACCCTGCACTCCCGAGGCTGGCCGGCAGAGGGAGGCAGCACACCGGGCTCAGGAAGCCAACACACAGCCCCTCCTGTGGGAGCATGGCCTTTGCCCGGTCCTCCAGCCCCCCTCCCAGGCCTCCACCTGCCTCTCCGGCTCTATCTACCCTCCTTGCCCAGCCCCAGTACTCACTTGCACCTGACCCTGGCCCTGGCCAAGGTCCTGTCCTCGGAGCTTCCAGGTCACATGAGGCTGCGGGCTGCCCCAGGCCACACAACGCAGGGTCACAGGCTCGAGTTCCCGAACTTCCAGCACCTGGGGAGGCGTCTCCAGGAACCGAGGGGATGCTGCAGAGACGCATGGGGGCGCCAGATATCAGTCCACAGAGCAGTGTCTGAGGGCCAGGAAGGCAGGTCAGGGCTGCAGCCCTCAGCCCACCAGGCCAGGGCCACCCTGTCTGCCGCCCTCCGGGCCCAGTGAGGAATGTGTCAGCCTATCCCCACACTGGCCTGTAGAGCTGGCCACGGGGCTGCACACGGCTGGGGGCTGCGGGAGAGCCAGTGGCCTCTGATGCTGCTCCAGGAGACCCGCTTTGCCCCTCATCAGTGGCATCATCCCGTCTCCACAGTGAAATGGGAACAATTAGGACTTCCCTCCCTGCTAGGGGCTGAGAGAGTTCATGAGGTGCTGCGTCAAAAGGTGTTTGGGGAAAAAAAAACTCGCTGAGTATGTCGTGAGCTATGTGTCACTCGGGACTCCACAGTCCCCGTCGCGTCCCCCTCTCCCCGCCAGAGCAGCAGGAACAGGTAAGACTCAAGTTCCAACAGGGCCTTGCAGGCAGCTGGGACCCCGGCTGAAGAAGAGGACGTGCCAGCAGTGGGCGGGGGGGATGCAGACTGTGAGCCAGCAAACAAGGGGTGTCAACAAGGGTGGGGCACGGGAACCCCTGCCACCCCCCAGCCACAGGCCATCATGCTGCTCTCCTCCCTTCGCCACCACCTGCTCCCGGCTTCATACAATTGACTGTGAGGTGCACCCAGGAGCCGTTAGCAGAGTCGTCCTCAGGGCTGTGCTGGTCCAGGAAGAGCACGCGGCACTCGTACCAGCCCTGGTCTTCCGCTCGGAGCCCCTCAATCTGGAGAGATGCCCCTTTCTGCAGCCGGACTCGCCCTGGGAGAGGAGCCCCAAAGCCTTGGTCACACTGGTGGTTCTCAGAGCTCAAGAATGGGCCCAGTCTCCTCCAGTTACCCTGATCAAGTGGGGCCCGGCCCAGAGAGACACAGGTGGGGCTGGGTCACTGAGGGCAGGTCCCTCCACTCAGCCCTGGATCACCCCTGCCTTTCAGCAGCTGCGACCCTGTCTAGACCAAGAGAACCCCGAGCGGCAGCAGGTGGACGACACACTCTCCTGAACCGCAGGGGCTGCAAAGGTCGTTGGGGGATGGGGGTGGGGGGTTAAGAGCCACACTTAGTCTCCCTGTGACTCTTACAGGACCTATCCCACCCCACAGCTCTTTATAGGGGCAAGGTCTGGCTCCCCGAGTACTCCTCCTGCCAGAGGACAGTCCCTGGAAACCTCAGCAGTGTTTGGGGCCTGAGCAGGGACCCAGGTCTCGCCTCCCAAAGCCCCTAATCCCCCAGGGCTATTATCAACGGCCTAAGCGCCTTAGGGTGGCCAGAGTCCAGCCCAGCCAGGCAGCAAGGTCAGCAGCCTCCTCACCCCATCCCCCCATGCCCCACCCCCCCTCCGCCAGCTGGCCATGTGGAGCTCCACAAAGCCACAGAGCCACAGCCCAGGCAGACACCCTGGTGCACCCTCAGTTGGCATCTGGCACACCAGCAGGTTCAGACGGATGCCGCCCCCGCAGATCCCTCAGCACCCTCCCCACACAGCCTCGGGTGTCCCTGGCGGGGCGGCCTAGTGACAGAGGCCTGCCCTCGGGAGCCAGAGAGACTCCCTTGGACAAGTCAGCCGACTTCAGTGTCACCTGTAAGAGAGGGAAGGCAAACCTGGCCGGGTGGGGTATGGGGAACACTGGGCTCACGTACTGTTGAACAAACGAACGAGCACAAGATTTGAAATCAGAAGCTGGACTTGAACTTGACCCTGCCTCTTGCCTGGTTACACATCCTCTCCTCCAGCCCGAGCAATGGCCAGCCCCAGCACGCACCAAGCTGCCCTACCAGAAACCTGGGATCGCCTTAACTCCTGTCCGTTACCTCCCACACCTGCGTTTTCAGTACATCTTCGAAATTCTGCCTCCTCGGTATGTTTCTTCTCCAGGAGCCTCACCGTGGTGTGGTCCCGTAGCACCTCTCCCCTGCACTCCTCCACGGCCCACCAGCTCGTCTCCCTGCCTCGCACCCACCTTCCGTCACATGCATCAGCCCACCACACCTTGGCCTTTGATAGGGATGGATGAGACTTTCTCAATCTTTGGGGTTACACAAAACCACTGCCACTCTTAAGACAAGTCCTTTCACACCTGCCTGCACCCACGGACCAGGCATCGCCCCTATTCGGCCGTTCTAATACCAGAAATTCTGACGCTGTGCGTCGGCTTCCCTTCTACCTCCAGGGTGATGTTTCCAAAATATAATTGAAGCCTGCAGTGCCCCTAGTGTTGTCAGGGAAGAGGAGAATGATCGCCTTCAGGCTGGGGTGGTGATCTTAGTAAGGCCAGGGCTTTTTTCTTCCGAGGATGAGGTCCAGAGGTGTGGACTCTCTGGGTGGGGACCTGCTTCACAGGCTGGCAGTTGAATTCCCCACCCAGGAGATAAGCCTACACTTTGCAGGTAAATATTTGACATAATCACACCCTCCACCCTGCTCTGGGATTCCTCCAGCACCCTAACTGGCCTGGCCACGGAGCCCCGCAGATTCCAGTGTGCGGCCTCTCCTAAGTGCCGTAGGATAGCAACTTTTCACGATGGTGACCCTCGAGTTCTACAAGGGAGGAAGAAGAGAAAAGGGAGACTGAGCCCTGAACCTGGACCACCAAACCATATTTAATCCTCCCAAGATTTCACTTAGAGGAAAGGACCGGAAGGGCCGGAGCCTGGTGGGCTCTAGACCTCCTGCGCACAGGGGTGTGTAAAGGGAGCAGGAGACACAGACTCTGCTCTCCACTCTTGGAAGGCAGAGAACCCACACTCACGTACATGTACAAGTTCACATACACACAGTTCAAGAAATGGTGTTTGGTGTGTCCAGACAGTCCAAGGACCGCCAAGCGAGAGGACTACCGAGCACTTTCAGAGACCACCGGAGAGTAGCAAGGGGAGATGACAGGAGAGAGCGGGAGTTCTGAACAGAAGGAGAGAACTGCTTTGAACCCCACAGCTCAGGGCAGAGAGAAAATCCGTGCCTCCCTGCCACACGGGCTACCTTCAAACACCCAAGAAAGACACCATGAAAGTCAAAGACCAGAACTGTTTTGTGGATTAGAAGGGCAGGTCTGAGACAACCCCGTCCCCGGCGAGGAGGCGTAGCATGAGTAATCCGAGGCTGCCATCCCTCTGGACACCGGGACCACAAAGGCGCCCTGCACAGGCTCCATGCTGGGCGCTGGATGGACAGTCACTGCCTTCCTCCTGGATGCAGCCCCAGCCTGGTCCCTACTGCTCTCCCCTACTCTGTGCTAGTCTGTAATGCCCGGTGACTCCGCCAGATGGGTTCTGGAGTACTCCAAGAGGGGCTGCTTTGGTCTCGGGCACAGTCCCTCCCACACTCTAGGCCATCGGCCTCACACACAGTCCCGGACCATCTCTCCTTCACTTGCCCAGAGAGCTTATGACAGGACACCATTGTCCTTAGCAACCTCCACCTCCTGTTGCCTAGCAACCACAGTCCCGAGTCCCCTACACAAAGGGAGAGAGGCCCCTTCCACACTGGGAGGCAGTAAGAGAGTTAATGGGCACGGGGGCCTCCCCCCCAGGGCCCTGACTCCCCAGACCAGCGCAGGCCAGACTAGGAGCTCCAGAGGAGGGGCAGGGGTGGACAGAAAGGGCAGGGTGGGAAGAGCCCCGGTGGTGACTTCTCCCGGTCCTTGCAGCTCCAAGGGGCAACAAAGAACGGAAACCAACGGGTCACAAAGTTGCCAGCCACACAGTGGCTTGTCGGTCCAAGGGATCCCAAATCAGGGCGGAGGGCGGCCCCCAGGAAAAGCCCTCTCCCTCCACAGCCCCACCCGCACCTGCCCCGTCCTCCCGAAGGGAACTCTCTCTAACAGCCCAGCCTCAGCCCCGGGGCCCAAACCCCTCCTGCCAGACCCCACAGAGGCAGGGAGGGAGGGCTGGTCGGTACAGCCGTTTCCCCCCACTGTCACTGGGGCCTGCTTTCCTCAGCCCTCACAGGGCCTGTGGAGACACATACGCTCCCACCAGGCTATTTGCCAACAACTGTCCCCAGTTTGAAAATAAACTCTTCCTTCAGCAGCACCTGCCTGAGCTCAGCCTGCCCCTCAGGAAGACCTCAGCCAATCCCAGGGCCGATCTCGGGATTCAAACTCAAGAGGGAAAAGGTGGGGGTCTCTTCCCCCACCAACGTCTGCCCAGGTGGCCTTTCCCGGATCCCCCCAGGCAGAGAAAGGCAGGAAGACGGTCTAACCGGGGAGCCCCAGCCCCCACCTTGGGCCCTCCCACACACTGCTCTCTGAGGCCTTCAGGAAACCGCTCAGATTAAGGATCCATCTGGGATTAGAAGGAAGCCAAGCCCTCTGAGGGAGCCAGTGAGGGAGTAGGGGTGCAGAAGGTGGAGGAGGCGGCCCCTGGGAGGCCAATGTACTAGTGGAAATCCTGACAGGAGCCACCAGAAGCAGGAACTCGGCCTGGCCCCATTCATTCCCTAGTCCTTAGAGAACCTGGCCCTGGCCAGCCCCCCACCAGACTCACGCACACGTCTTCTGTACTCAGACCAGACTGGGCCCCCACTGGAGCAGCAGGTGGGTCACAGACCCACCCACCCTGCTGCCCATCCGCCCACCCCCAGAGACCTTGAACCTCCTAAGTGGCACTTGAGAGAGTGGGGGAGGGGAGGCAGAGCAGTAGAGAAGTCCTGCCCTCCACCGCCCCCCACCCACCATCCTTGGTGTGTTGGTAGCACCTCCCAGCTTCCCACATGAGGACCAGTCTTACCCACGTAATCAGGGTCGATGCGGGGAGAGTAGAGGCCAAACTGGATGAAGATGGGAAGCAGGAATCCAAAACGCAGCCACTCAATGACATGCAGGGGTGGGCGGCCGGTGGGGGGCAGCAGGTCACAGCCCAGCACTGCAGTCTCGCCGGCGCGGCCCACCACGGACACCACCTCAGGCTTCCCTCGACCTGTGAGGTGGGGCAGGCCCACAGCAGGGACCCTGGTCAGGGCTGGGAGAGGGCGCTCCTCGGTAGCTCTGAGGGCTCCCCCGGAGTGGCGGGGTGATTGAGAGACTCCGCAACGTCTCCAGGACCCGCCCTACCACCACCCCCCCCGCCCCCACTCCCCTCCCCGGGGACTGCCCCCCACACCAAGGCCAGCGGGGAGCGCCTGAGCCCCGGGAGTCTGGCTCACCGTCAGCCCCCTGGCTGATGATCAGGCTGAGGATGGTCACACCGAGGCACCAAACCATAGCCCACGGCCTGCGTGCCCGGCCCCTCCTATCCACAGGGGCCCAGGTGGAGGGGCCTGGGGGTGTCCACAGCCCAGCAAGCCCCACAGCGCCTTCTGAGTGGATGGCAGCTTTCAGCGCTTACTCTTCTGGACGATCGGGGTTTGGCTCACATAACACCTGCTGAAGTCGCTTCCGGAGCACTAGACCTAAACGCAAAATGCACAGCAACACACAGAGTTGGCCAATCCTTGGGACCGGAAGAAACCCCACAGTTAGAGAAAGGCCAGGACGAGAGCAAAGGAAGAGAGAGGAGAGAAGATAAGTAGGGGAGGGGCCCAGAGACCAGAGATCCTGTCGCCCTGGGGAATCAGGGCCCTCCAGGGCCAGGGTGGGAGCACTGGGTGGGGAGACCCGACAGGTGAGGGCACAGGGAGGGTGGGGCAGAGCAGTGGGAAGATCTTAAGGAAGACGGAGGGCTTCCAGGGAAAGCAGGGGTTCCGTAAGTGCTCAGAAGGCTGAGCTGGGAGGGAACTGGGGCTCCTATCCACTTGGAAAAAGATGTCAGGAAAATGGGAGAGAAAGAGGCCCCACGGCTCAGCCTCCTCTGTTCTCCTTCCTTAGCCCTGAGGCTAGTAACGAGATCACAAGGCTTGCACCCCACAGTGACAAGCAGGGACCCCCGGGATCCCAGACAGGCTTGCTCAGGGGCACGGAGCCAGTGAAGGGCAAAACCTGTATCAGAATCACACAAAGCGGCTCCCAGGGAACCCCCACACACGATTCCTTGCCCATTTCCCCAGCCTCTGTGAACGCTAGAAACTGGAGATCTTACACCTTTCTCTCCACTCAGCCTCCCAACACGGCTCGGGCAGCAAGTGAGTCAGGCACTGGGAGAGGAGGGGCGGCCTCCCCCACCTGGTGGAAGGCTCCCGCCCCCGGCATCCTCCAGGTCTGGGCAGGTCCCCTGGCAGGCCGCTGGCACCTTTCCCTCCGTGATGCTGCCAGGCAGCCCTCAGCCCTGACCCAGGTGCCTCACCCCAGGGCTCCCCATTCACTGTCCTTGGGGCCCAGGGTTTGCCAGGCTTTCCCTTCCCCAACCCTAGAGGCCAGACCCAGGAGAAGCTAGAGAGCCTGCGAGTCCTTAGGGCGTACAGAGTGAGCCCTGGGTAGAACGGCCCCAGCCCCAGAGCATCTAGGGTAATCACAGCGGGCTGGGGTCAGGGGCACGGCTGCCGTCGGCCCCAGAAAGCCAACCAGGCTCTGCACTGTGGCCTCCACCCCACTCTTGGCCTCCCACTTCTGGACTGGTTGTAAAATGTCTTCCACGCCCCGCAGCCTGACCCGGGATTCTACTTAGCGGCCAGCGGCCCCGACAACTCACCAGCAAACATTCCGCTTGCTTCCCCCTGCCCCCAGCCAGCTCTCCCATTCTTCCCTGACAGATCATTTTCCAAGTGGATAGGAACCCCAGTTCCCTCCCGGGTTTCCCCCGAATTCCTCTGTTTTTCCTACATCTTCCTACTCCTCTGCCCACCCACCCCCCAACCACGTCCTCACCTCTCGGGTCTCCCCACCAACTGTTCCGATTCCAGCTATCCCTACTTCTCACCGCACCCCCCCGCCCCCAGTACCCATCTTCCACCCCTGATCTCCAACTGCACCAGGTTCTCCGCGCTTCAAGGAACTCCCCTCCTGTCTCCTCCAGGATCCACCCCCCCCCCACTTCTCCCATCCTCTGCCCTGGAATCTCCCTCCCCATATTCTCCAGCCTCAGCCCACAATACTCTTCTGATGCCCCACCCCCAGTTCCCCGCTCCTTCGCCCGCTCCGGACCCCAGAACTCTCCCTTTCGGAACCCCCGGACCCAGCCCCTGCACAGACGCGCGCGCACACCCACACACCCACACACGCGCGCGCGCGCGTTACCTCCAGACGCCTCCGGGTCTCGGGGAACCCCCCACCCGCCCACCAAAAAGCCCACTTCACTCCCCAGAACTCTAGTTCTGCTCCCCAAAGAATCCCACGGCGCCCCAGCGCCCCCGCGTGCTCCGCGCCCCCCGGACTCGCGAGCCGCGCGGGCGGCCGTCCCTGCCCCCGGCGCGCCCCCGCCCTCACCTGCCCGGCGCCGCGCGGCCAGGCTCCCGCAGCCACACAATAGGGGGCGGGCCCGCCTCCCGCCCCGCGCCCCAGCGCCCGCGTCGCCCTGGAGACCGCCGCGCCCCGCCCGCCGCCGAGGGGGCCGACCGGCGGGGCGGGGCGGCCGCGACCCCCGAGCGGCCTGGGAGTTGTAGTTTCGGTGGCGCGGGACGCGTGGCCGCGGGCTCGGGCCGCCCCCTGGCGGAGCTCCGCGCGCCGGGCGCCACCCGGGGCAGCCGCCGCCAGGACCCAGGCCCCGGCCGACCGGAGCCGGCCCGCCCCCGTCCCGGGCCAGCCGCCCGCGAGCCCCGCCGTCCGCGCTCGGCCGGGAACAGGACCCCCGGGGGACCCGCGCGGTGGGGGGTGGGGGTGGGGCCTGGGCACCCACCCGCTTCTGCTCCGGCCCGACTGGAAATACCTGTCTGCGCTGGCGAACTCCCAGGTCCTGCCCCGGCGCCTCCCACAGGGTGACCAGGGGACCGTGCGCCCGGGCCGAGGCTGCCAGGTCGCCCCCGCGGCAGCTCGCAGCGCCCGTGACGCCGCGAAACAGTCCCGGGGAGGGGGGGTGGCGGGCAGGACGGGAGGCATCTGGACAGGGGCATGGAAAGATCGCCTCCTGAACTCTGCAGGGGGCCAGACCCTGGACTACGGGCTTTGCAGCCCTTAGGCCCCCTGGGCCAAGAACCTGGGGAGGAGGCATGGCTCTGCTTTGACTCATGAGAAAACTAGGACTTGCCCCAGACTTCCCATCGCGATCAGCGCAGGGCTGAGCGCACTCCCAGCCTGGACTTCGTGAAACCTACCTCGTTAGAGACTTCAGGCCAAAAGATGTCTGGCACTGCTGCCCCTCAGAGCTTTCTCCTTGGTGACCTGGGGGCCCCCTTAGGGATCTAGGGTCAACATGCCTTCTCCAGCAGGCTTTAGCAGCCATACCTCTGCAGGTCCTTCACGTTCACTGCTTCCCCCCAGTCTGAACTCCGTGACGCCCGTAGAGCCTTCCACGCATCCCATTCATGGATTCATGGCCTCCAGGTCTACCAGAAGAGACCCTGCAGGACACACTGAACCACTCCCACCAGGACCCCAGCCACATTCTCCTTCCAGGTGGTCTCTGGCCCCACGGGCCCACATCCTGGGCCAGGAAGCTCGCCATCCCCCCAGTAATCTGTTCCATCCTTAGGGACAGACTGCTGGAAAGTTCTTCCAGGTGTAAACATCGGTGGGCTCCTTGTGACAGCCTGAGAGGAAAATGTGGCGAGTGGAGGGGGAGGAGGAGGGGAGGCAGGAGAGGTGGTGGGTTATTTCCCACCACCCTTCCAGGCAGAGTCTCTCCAGGTGGCAGCTTTCCACCTTCCTCTACATGGTACCAGACTTCATGAGGCCACTCAGAGCACAGGTTAGTGGACGCCGTGTGAAAGCCAAGAGAGGGCTTCAAACAGATGTCCGCACCCAGCCTTCTCTACCCCGTGGTCCCTCACTAGCCAGCAGAGAAGATCTCCCTCCCCCTCTGATCCAAAAGTTCGTATCTGCTGTTTCCAATGTTTTCTTTCTATTTTTCTTAATTTTGTTTATTTATGTGACATAGAGAGCGCACAAAGGGGGAACAAGCAGAGGAAGAAGGAGAAGCAGGTTCCCTGCCGAGCAGAGAGCCCAGTGCGGGACTTGATCCCAGGACCCTGGGATCACGACCTGAGCCAAAGACAGACAGACAACTGACTGAACCACCCAGGCGCCCCTGTTTCCAGGGTTTTCTTGAGGAAGAGCTAATTTCATTTGGTTGTAAAATAACTTTTTGTGATCTTGGGATTTAAAATAACTTTCCATTTTTAAAAAGTTGATGGTCTGGTCATTTCCCCCCCGAATCCTTATTTTGTGAATTGTATTATTATTGTCATTTTGCTCTGATTCTGAAGTATCTTGTGGGCTTTTGGGCAAGAACAGGAACCTAGCTCCGAAACTTGTTCCCTCCCTGTGCCAGAAGTGAAAGTTAATTAAAAATAGTCCCTGAGTCTCAAAATTAAGATTTTATTCTGGGTCCCCCACGTTCTGTGATTGTTACTCTCTGGGAAACGGTGTTCAACCCACCAGGATTTTATGTAACCCAAGTATCAGCCGGCCCACATATTTTCAACTTGCTGAGAAGAAGATCAGTCGTCGTGGTCAGTTCCACGGATGCCACTGAGCCCTGGGAGCACTAGCCCTATCACCTGGTGTGGTCTCTCACAGACTGTCCCCTCGCCACGGGCATCCCTACCTTCTGTGCCCGTGAGGCCGTAGGTCCAGGAGGGTGTTCCTGCTTGAATGTCCCACAACGCTGAGTCTATCAGAGGGTCCTGGCTTCCTCTTCAGACCCGCTTCTTACCTCTCCCTTTGTCCCCTGCCTGGTGTGGTCTCAAAGTCCCTAGAAGTCACTGTGCTCTGCCACAAACCAGTGTCTTCCCATTCGTCTTCTTTGAGGTGAGAATGTCCCTTCCTTGGACTCCCGGCTAATCTGGGGTCAGAAACTGTGCTCTCCTCTTCCCTTGGGGGCAGGGACCCCTCCTCCCGCTGTGCCCTCACCTTCACCCATGGCCCTTGTCACACCTCGTTAATTATGGTCTTCACAGACTGCAGGAAGACTTCCTTGAGGGCAGGCCAGGTCTTTCCTGCCTCCCCAGTGCTAGCCCAGTGCCTGACTCTTAGTGGATCCCTAAATACTGCCCTCCCTCCTCCGCCCCAAGCCGCTCCTGCCCCCGTTTGCTTCCATCTGTGTCAAAGGGCAGGCAAACTCTGCCAAGGGCGAAATGCTACCAGCTGATCATTTCCCTGGCTTCATTTCCCTCCTCCTGGGTGTCCTAGTGCCTGGCCCACCTGCCCTGTCTTCCCAAAAGCAGTGTCCTTGGTCCCCACGATTCCCCTACGCATCCCACGCCCCTTGGAAGTCATTTTGGAGTCCAGCATCCTTCTCACTGAGAGAGGGGAAGGCAAGCAGGAGGAACGTCAGACAGTTTCTGCCACACGGCCCAGCCCTGGTCCCTCACTCTACTTCAGAGATCCCCCCCAGGGGTACCAGCCAGGCTTCCTGTGCCGCCTCAGCCCCAGGAAAGGGATGGAGCCTGAATGGGTGTCTGCTGGACAAAGGGCTCAGCAGCCTTGGGTGAGGGGTTCAGGTTGCTGGGATCAGCGTAAGGGCTTGGCCAGGGATGGGTGCGCGTGGAGCGGGTTGGGGAGGACGCCCAGATCGCAAGGAAAGCCCGGGAAGCAGGTCTGGGGAGTGGCGGGGCCGAGGACCCAATGTCACCCCCCAGAGCGGTGGTCACCTAATTCGACTTTATTGCGGGATAATCATCCTCTCCCCCACCCCCTGCGGAGTATGGCCCTTACAGCGCCCAGCCCTTGGCCCCCTGGGAGGAGAGGCCCCCGGGGGCTAGGGGAGAAACAGCGCTCAGGACTGTGGTCCCAGGGTCGCTCAGGCCAGGCTGGGGTGGGGCTTCTCCTTCTTTTTCAGTCTGAGTCTGTTTCTCTCGAGCTTCCTCTTCCTTGGTGTCCGGCCCCGTGTTGGGGCTCCGGTGAGCCACAGCCCCGCAGCCAGAACCACAAGGAGCGCAAGGAGCAGCAGCCCCTTGGTCAAGACGCAGGGGTGAGTGGACTTCTCCGAAGGACAGCCGGGATCTGGGGCAGAAGGAGGCAAGGAGAGAGGGGCTCGCCAGGGCAGGGTGGGGGGTGGTGGTCCAGATCCAGAGGCGGACATCCAGCCCAGATCCCACAGAGGGGTCTCAAGTTCACAGCCAATTGCTGTTCCTTGGCACGGGTCCCTGGACATGTGTGTTCTGATCACAGAAGTCAGGAGCTGAGATGCAGGGAATGATCTCAAGCTGAGCGAGAGACTTGAGAACCTTTGGGAGTTGGGAGCGCCGGCCCCGTCCCCAGCCCAGGGGACCAGGTCCCATGGGGAGGAGTGCGGTTCTGGGTACCAGGTACTCTCCTGGGAAAAACGGAGGGAGGGCGGTGGTAGCTGAGAGCCCTGCAGTAGCTCGGGGCTGTCCCCAGGGGCCTGGTACCTGAACAGAAGGACCCGGCAGGGATGGGGCGGGAAGTGATGCTGCTGACGGGGTTGCTGGCCCTGCAGGTGTAAGAGGGGGCATTGTCCCCAGGCCGCCAGGATGTGCTGAGGGCAGAGCTCTCGTGCACTGTGTCCACTCCATCCTCCCTGGATAGCCAGCTATAGGTCATGTCCAGGCCTGCCTTCTCCACAGAGCAGGTCAGAGATATATTACAGCCTTCTTCCTGAGAGATCTCAAAGTTCACGGTGACACGAGGCTCTGACAGCCGGCCTAGATGAAGGAGGGACACAAAGACCCTCTTAAGTAATCAGGGGTCGGGGCTGTTCCTTAAGGTCCTCAATCCTGAGGGGACAGGGGTGCCTGTCCAGAAACTAATACAGCTGCCATAAAATCTGGTTCCAGGGTCCCCCAGGCAACTGCTAAGGTAGATAGGGCTGCCTTTGGCATTTTCTACGTGCCCCCCAACATGGCCTCACCTTCTCTCCGTCCCCTGCACACCCCACCTTCTTCCAAACCCATTCTACCTCGTTGATCCCAGAAAATATTGTCACACCTCCTGGGGGCATTGATAGTTTAATCAGTGTCTCTGCAAGATTCGAGGTGGAGTATCAGTCAGTGTCACCGGCACTGAGAAACTTGGTTCAGGGGGGAGGAGACATTGATTAGCAGCCCTCACAGGGGACAGGGGGATTGAGCACTCAGGCCTAGAGGCCGCATCCATTCCCAGGATGCAGGATCTCAGTGGGAGAGAAGGGCCCCCGGACGTCCGCACACAAAGCTCCAGACCCCTGTCACTGCACGCGGAAGGTCCAGGGGAACAGCCTGTGTGCCCAGGGCCTCGCCGCTCCGGTCACTCCGCAGCTCAGACACCGGGCTTGGGCGCACAGGAGACAGCCCACCCTCCCATCCCCGCCCCTCCAACCGTAACTCTGAGTCCCGAGACCACTGCTCCTTCGCATGCAAAGCTGGGGAGAGCCCCGGACAAGCAGCGCTGGAGCTCGCAGCTGACACTCACGGTACACACGTAGATGGTAACGCTGCACGATGGAGATCTGCGACGTCCTCAGGTTGACCTGAGCCTGGTACGGCCCTGAGTCCTCCCAGCTGAGATTGCTGATGTGCAGGGAGTAGCTGGGGTCGGGAAAGCTCGCTCGGCCCTTGTATCGAGGGTTGGTCACCTCAACGGTGGCCGGCTGCCCCTCTTTCCCAGGGACCACGGTGGCAAGCCTTACATGAGAGGACCAGACGATATTCTCAACCTCTTCATCGGCTGGAACTTCCAGGGGGAGTCTGACGGACTCCTGAAGGACTGCAACGACGTCCTCTGTATCCCCATCATCTCCAGAATACCCTTCCGCTGCAGAAAAAGGAAGAAAAGACGGGAGCAGCCCAGGTGGTGTGTCTGGGCTGCTGCGCCTGGGACCGGGGCAGTGATGGGCATGTACCTGTCTCCCACGTGTGGCTTCCGTGGCCCCCGGCTCCGTCCCAACCCTCTCTGGCTCTAGCTCCCGCTGCACCTGACCTGAGCACCTCCCAGGCCTTGGCTTCTGTCTGGGCCCTCCTCCTCCAAATTTCACCTTGGCCATTTGCTGCGGTGGGCTGGCCCCCTTCTGCATTGCAGGCTTCCCCACCTCTTGGTCCTAAACCGCAGCCACACCCTCTTCCTCTTTACTCCTGGAGAGCTGAAGTATCCAGCCCCGAGCCTCGCCAGCCCAAACCCCAGCGGGACAGGAGAGCAGAGGGAGGGAGATGCTCCCATCCCAGGACTGCAGTCTCTCCTCTCTCACCTGTCTGGACCAGCAAGAGTAGGAGAAGCCGCGGAAGGGCCCCCATGACAGCAGCCCCGCCCGCCAGCAGACTGGCCTCCTGGCCCCCGAGCTGATGAAGAAGACCAGCTGCTAGGTCAGGAGGCTGCTGGAGACGGAGTGACTGACTGACAGTGTCTCGGAGGGGAAATGCTTCTCACCACCACCCCCCCAGCAGCCTCCAACTTCCTTCATCCCCACTAAGCCCCTCCCTGTCCATCTTGGGAAGTTCTCTCTCAGAGTCTGATTGCCCGGCTGGTTCACCCACTGGCCCGTGCTTCCTGTCTATCACACCCCACTCAGATCCCACTTCCTAAGAGAAACCTTCCTAGACGCCCTGCCCCTGTGTTCCCAGGCAGCCCCCTCCCCCACCTGTCCGGAGCTCTTGGCCCTGAGCGTACCCTGGGTCAGCTCTCGCTTGGCGGTTCCTATGTTGCTGTCATGCATTGACCTTATAAGCGTTTTTGTCTCCCCAGATGGACCCCGTCTTCTGGGACACCTCTATGTCCCATGCTAGACACACGCAGCACCCAGCTGATATTTCTGGAACGGACGAACAAATGAAGCATTCCATATTTCAAGCTTGCCAGGTTCCCACTTGAGAGACTATCAAGAGGAAGAAAAATTTAAACTCTTTAAAAAAAAAAAAAGCACACTTTGGGCCTGAGAGCCCATCTAGGTTAATATTATGGAAAGACTAACGTGTCCTGTGAGGCTGTGACGCGCACCAAAGCTAGAAGAGGTCGGACAGGCGGAGCTGCTCAGGACGCCGAGGTAGCCTCGGGAGGAGTCTCCGTCGCTGGTGTTCAAGCTCACAGGGGACAGTCTTGGGTCGGTGGGTGACTACAGACTCTCTCGCTGGGTACTCAGACAGGAGAACTTTTACGTTTTTCGAGTGCCCAGTCTTACAGGTCTGTGCGGTTATCAGGAAGCAGGAATGATGGCCTAAGACTGAGGCCACGGCGGAGGCAGCTGGAAGCCCCCCAGGCGTTCGCGGCGTCAGATTCAGCCCTTGTCAGATACTTTCTGAGCAGCTGCGTGGCCCGGGTCCTATGTTCTGAGCAATTAGCCGTGACCAAGAGCTTCAGATCTCGACTTCTCAGGGGCTGAGATCTGACCAAGGACAACTAAGCGAGTTGGGTGAGTTTCACCCACGGACTCGGACTCGTCTGTGTTGCTCAGGACAAGGGGTTTAACAAATCTGAATTCAGGAGGTCAGAGAAAGCCCTCCAGGAGAAATGACATGAAGGTACTAGGATCTGCTAAGTGGAGAAGGGAAGGGGGTGGGCAGTTCTGGAAGTTCAATTTGGAAGCATCAAACCTGAGAGACTGTGGTTTTTTTGAAAATGCAGATGAAAACGTTCTTATGCAGTCTTCCTATTTAAAAAATTTTAAAGCAAAATTTAAAAACTAAGGAAACAAGTTCACGTGTGTAATACCGAGTTTAAAAGGTGAGTCTATCCGTTGGGGTCTCTGCGAGGCCGGTGCCAGTGGGCTTTGGGTGTGAAGGAGGTTTCCTGTGGGTGGAGGGGAACGCCCGCCCTATAAAAGATAAAAGGGAAGGAAGCAGAGTGGGGCAGGGGGAGCCCACGTCCCTGTCATGCAAAGGAGATCAGCCCAGTCTCTGCCAGGGCAAGTTGCTAAGTTGGTGGGGGCTCTGGGGCCAAGATCCGACCCCCGACCCTGCTGTGCTCTCTGGCTGAACCTGCCCCGGAGGAGCGGGGATCCAGCTGCAACCCTGCAGCTGAAGACAAGCTCTCTCCGGAAAGGAGACCCAGGGACGCCCCACGGCAGCTCCACGGGGATCCACCAACAGGAGCTGTGTTCAGATGGGTTAGACCGTCTCCACCAACAAGAACAAACAGTGCGTGTGCTTATTGAGTAGAGGGGAGGTAATTCACACACACACACACACACACACACACACACACATAGCCTCCCAGTTCACTGTGGAGAAAGGACTTCTCCGAAGACGATTTTCAACTGTTCTGAAAATCTGATTTTCATTCTGGCTCATAGATTAGGATCCAAACTCAACTCCATTTCTGTGTTTCATTGCCCCTTCACTTTTTTTTTTAAGATTCTATTTTTTTTTAATTATTTATTTATTTGAGAGAGAAAGAGCAAGAGCACGAGCGGGAGAGGTGCAGAGGGAGAAGGGGAAGCAGGCTCCCCACTGAGTGCATAGCCTGGACCCTTGATCTCAGGATCCTGAGATCATGACCTGTGGGAAAGTCAGAGGCTTCACCAACACCCAGGTGCCCCAGATGTTTTATTAATTTAATTTATATTAATTATTTAATCATTAATTATTAAATAATAAATATTTAACTTATTATTTAATTAACTTACATTAATCTCTACACCCAACTTGGGCCTCAAACTCAAAACCCTGAGATCAAGAGTCCCACATACTCCACCAACTGAGCCAGCCAGGCGCCCCCCACCCTGTCACTTTTATTCAGTGGGGTGGTCTTCTCCTGCCCCAAATGAGAACTCTGGTCTTGGCTTCTATCTCAATTCAGAGATGAGAACTTCCTGTCTCATGAAATACACAAAATTTCAAACTAAAATTCAAAGCAATCTCCCCTTCCCCTGGCTTGGCTCTGTCTCAGGTTGGAGGCTGACAGTGGGGGATGGGAAAGACCCTCTCTCCTCACTCCCAACTTACCCTGGCACTTCTGCCGCCCTGAACTCCCTTCCCCCAAGCTGTCTCCCACCTCTCCAGGAGGGCGGGCACGAAGGGGAAGTGATGGAATCGTTCTCACCGGGCCGAGTGGCTTTGCTGTCTGGGGGTCTGGCAGATGGATACGATGGTCTCTTCCTCCGAGGAAGAGTTTTGTCAGTTCCTAAGAGTTTCCACTGGTCCCACCTCTCCTACCCTTGACCCTGGGTTGCTGCATCTCTATTCTGGGTGGTCCTTTGAAGGTCCCCCCACAGCCCCTGGACAACTGGCCAGCTGTCCCCACTGAGTGGCACCAGACACCAAGCAGGCTGTGTCTCCCTGCCAATGCTCGGTGGCCTGCCATATTCCTCCCCTGACACCAAGATCCGCTGTCTGTCTGCGAGGACCCCGATCTCAGTGCACGATGGTTTCCACTCTCCCGGGCCTGGTGTCGACCCCTGTCCCGTGGTCCCCCATCCCTGCGGGGCCCGCATGACAAACCTCCCCAGTCCTGTCCTTCACACTCTCTCACTTGGCCCACGTCCCTCTACCCCACCACTGGAAGTGGTGAGGACTCACAAGGAAGTAACAGCTGTTTCCACAGAAATCTCTTCCCAGTCTCCTGCTCTGAGCTCCCTACCCCGGGTGAAGGGACCCAGAGCAGTGACACAGGCTCCCCTTCGTTCCTGCTGATCTGCTGACCCCTGTCCCATAGCCCCATGGTGGGACCCTGAAGGGAGGCTTCCAGCTAACATCCTGCGGGGGTTCCCTTCCTGCAGCCTGGGGCCCAGCGGACAGCTGCGTGACAGCTGCGTGAGGGCTCCCCTCCGCCCCCTATGTGCGCACCTCTGCTGCTCCGCTTTGGGGCTTTCAGGGAAGGAGCGGAAGGCCACTCAGCCCAGGCGCGGTGCCTTGGGCCGTGTGGGGAGAGTGCATACCCCAGAGCACGCCCAGCCATCGACACACCCTTCGTTCGTTTTCCTCCTGTTCCCGGTTCCAGGCGTGTGTTCCTCATCCTTTCCGGGTGGCTTCCGAGCTCACCTCCCACAAAGACGTCCTCTGCCCGAGTCCATGTCCAAGGCCCTGCTCTGGGAGAGACCTAGATTATGGCACAACAGTACATGATAAGGTAGTTGAGCCAGTAAAATTTAGATGCCCTGGATTTTTAGGGGCAGATACGTCACTGAGAAGGAATAAGCCCCCACCCCAGTTCTCCTGCCATAACAACCCTGGGAAAGAGGAACCAGGAGAAGCAAGTCCTGCTCTGATGGAGGGCTGGGGGGCGACAAAAGGTCAAACGCTTCATCAGACTCTCTCCTTGGCTTTTCTTTGGGTCTGGAAAGACGAGGACCCACACAGCAAACCGTGACCCTGGAGGAGCCATCAACAGGTAAGTCCCCAACAAGTCACCTCCCTCTCAAAGCAAAGCCAGTGGAGACGTGCATGTCTTCTATTTTATTCCATCTGCCTAGTCTGCCTTCTTTTGTAAGTGTCAGGGTTAAAAGGTGGGTTTCTCAGCCTCACCAGGAAGGTGTACCCAGAGGGGCCACTGGAGACAGAGGTGAGAGTAGCTCTCCCTGCGGAGGAGGGACCGGCCCTCACGGGGTCTCCAAGGTGGGAGAGAACAGCGCACACCCACGGAAGCTCACGGATCTGCCTGGTAGGGCCGAGAGACTGGGTTGGAGGAGCTGAGCAGAAGCGGGAAGGGGGGCGGCGGGGGCTGCCGGGAGAGGGGCAGGAGTCAGCTCCCTGAGCCTCACGGGCAGCTTGGGTTTATAACGCCCCCCTCTCGCCAGCATTCGCCTTTCAGAGGCAGAAGAAATACAGCAGGGAGGAGAAAGCAGAGTGTGGGGTAGAGGGAAAGTTGTATCGCTGTTGGTTTTTTTTAAGATGGGAGAGATCTGAACATATTTAAATGTTGAGAAGAGAAACAAGCACGGAGTGAGGATGGGGAAGCAGGACATAAAGGAGCCAGGGGACGAAGTGAGGCCCCACTGGCCCCCAGAGGAAGGGAGGGAGCTCAGATTCAGAGCCCAGCAGGAATACCCAACCTTAGGTTGCAAGGTGGTCTTTAGTAGAGTAAGCCGGCCGGAGATGAAGGGCGGTGCGTCTGCGGCAAGTCAAGGGGAGCCCTGTCTAGCGGTTTCCATTTCCCCTGCAA